TGTGTGTGTGTGTGTGTGTGTGTGTGTGTGTGTGTGTGCGCGCGTGTAGATTAATGTAATTTACATTTCAGCTGTAAGATGATTATCTTAACAGCGCTTCAAGACACATTTAATACTAATTTAAAGGAATATCCAAACATGTAAAGGTTCAACCAAATATGAAATCTGTCATTTACTTGCCTTCAAGTTGCACCAAACCTTCTTTGCTCTGCTGAACACAAAAGATGATATTTTGAAGAGTGGTGGTAAACAAACAGTTTCTGGTCCCCATTGATTTCCATAGTATTTTTTTTTCCTTACTATAATATCAAAATATCTTCTTTTGTGTACAGCAGAAGAAAGAAATTCATACAAAAAATTCATTTTTTTGGGTGCACTATCCCTTTAACTTCGTATACCCTTTCATAAATAATGTATTATCAGTGAGATCAGCAACACCTCTTCAAGTTACAAGATCACCTGGGGTTAAAAAGATATAGTTGTATGCACTATTCTGATGTATTTCTAGTCCACTTGGCTCAAAATCGTAGTAAACAATCCTCTCTGCTTTTGTTCTCAGCGCGGGTCCTAAAGGAGACAACATCTACGAGTGGAGGTCCACTATCCTGGGTCCTCCAGGCTCCGTGTATGAGGGAGGAGTGTTCTTCCTGGACATCGCTTTCACTCCAGACTACCCCTTCAAGCCACCCAAGGTCAGAGCTCGCTCTTAGATAGTCACAGTTAGTGTGTGGGATGGACAGCCGTCTTCACTCACAAACTACAATTAAAAAATTAAAAAAAACAGAATTAATACTTTTGATTAAGCAAGGGGGCATTAAATTGATCACAAGTGACAGGAAAAACATTACAATGATTTCTATTTCAAATAAGTGCTGTTCTTTTAAACTTTTTATTCATCTTAAAAGTCCTGAAGATGTATCCACAAAGATATGAAGCAGCACAACTCTTTTCAACACTAATAATGATCTTAAGCAGCAAATCAGCATATTAGAGTGATTTCTGAAGGATCATGTGACACTGAAGGCTGGAGTGAAAATTCAGCTTTGCATCACAGGAATAAATTGCATTTTAACAGATATTGCAATAGTAGTTTTAAATTCTAATCATTCTAATGCCACTTTTTCTATGATACCGATACTTTCATTTTTGGTACTTGCTGATACTGATTATTGATACTTGTGTTTTCATCGCGTTTGTCATTTTTAAATCTTGAGCAGAGAAACCAAAAAGAATATGAATTTGTTTAGCAAAGAGATATTTCCTTCCGTTCTTTCATGCTTAATTATGCCTGGTATAATGCACAAGCTTCTGTTGCTTTCACTCTTCATTCTTCTGTGATATGATATCTGTATCATGCTATTTCTAGTTATATACATTGCCCTGTTCGTACAACAGCAGATGGAAATACTTGTAACTATAGTGACAGTTAATGATAGTGAGTATAGAAGCTTTGTGTCATGTTTTGACTCTGAATTCTGATTGGATGAGCCTTGCTGGAAGCTGCTGTCAAATGCATAGAAACACACACCTACACCACACGCTCAGTATCTTGTGTCATTAGGCTAAGTGTTAAAACACACACACACACAGAGGTTCTGTGTTTTCTGTACTGGAGAGTGACTCGCTCTCAAAATTAGGTTGTGACTCCTCATCTTTCAGATTATGAAATCGTTCAACCAAATTATTCAATTATAAAATTGTTGAAAAAACAACTATTGTAATTCCTTGAGCTGAGGCTTTACGGTGTTCATCGGGGCTGTAAAGAAGGACGTGAGGGTTTGTACAAACCTCATGAGAAGAAAAGCCTCTGGTTTAGGACTAAATGCGTAAAGAGCAATCAGTTATTAAAGGACACAAGGGCTTATTCTTAAGAGAGTCTGTTGTGCTGTTCTGATGTGTTCAGGTGACGTTTCGCACAAGAATCTACCACTGCAACATCAACAGTCAGGGTGTGATCTGTCTGGACATCCTGAAGGACAACTGGAGCCCGGCGCTCACCGTCTCCAAAGTGCTGCTGTCCATCTGCTCTCTCCTCACAGACTGTAACCCTGGTAAGACACCGGCTCGGCTCGGTTGAGGAGATGTTGGCTGATAGAGCTGGCAGGCGCTTGTTAGCTGGTCGTAGGCTGGAGCTCCAGTGTTTGTCAGTATGCTGGAGCTCCACCTGTTTGACCGAGACGACAGCAGAGCAGTTACAGGTGTGGGCATCGATACAGCCGCTTCATGCTCATGTATGAAACTGCACACATCTTTCTGTTCATCTCATGTCTGAGCTGCTTTGGTGAGTATATGAAACCGTGTCAGTCGCCAGATGGCCGGTAACATTTTTAGAAATTCTAACAATGCAATGTTGTGAGAACATAAACGTGAACAAATGTGAACGACGCTCCGTACAGTTAACAGGTCAGTACTGCTTCATCACAAAAGTTTAAGCCTTTGCAGTGTAAATATTCAAGAGCTAGAACACATGAAAGGAGACGCGTTACTCTCGCGCTGTGTGAGAAGTTTAAACATCCGAAACCCCGGCCTGAAAGCTGTGTCTTGAGCTCTGCTTCCTTCCTGCGCTTAAATGGACAAATTAACACAAAATTGTCAAAAAAAAAAAAAATTCCGTCTCGGTGAGTATCCTAGTAAAGTAATCGGTTCTAAAGTGAACGTGAACAGCTGAGAAAGAAACCGGACACGAACCGTGTGCGACGCAATGTGTCAAGAGACGACAGAACCCAATATAATCAGTGATATTGTCTCCACAGGATGCGACGCGTTACTCGCGCTGAGTGGGAAGTTTAAACATCCGAAGCCCCGGAATGAAAGCCGCGTCTTGAGCTCTGCTTCCTTCCAGCGCTTCAACGGACAAATTCACACAAAATTATGTCAAAAATTACCGTCTCTGTGAGTATCCTAGTAAAGTAGTTGGTTCTTAAGTGAACATGAACAGCTGAGAAAGAAACCGAACACGAACCGTGCACGTCGCAATGTGTCACAAGACAATAGAACCCATTATAATCAGTGATATTGTCTATACAGGATGCGGCGCGGCGCGACAAATCCCCGAAAGTAAACGGATTCTCCGTTCTATTTCTGAAATAGTCCAAGCAACGGCCGCTTTGTCGCATCTTCAAGCTGCTGCGGTGTAGACATGGTGTTAAAGTGATAGACACAGAATTCCAATAATCCTGCTGTTGTCTGCGTTTTTAATCCTGAGCAAAGAAAATAGGACAAAGAAAAACTTGAACTTTAAAAAGATATAAAGACTATAGTGTTACTTGATTAGCATAATTTATTACATTTCTGTAGGCTACCTGAAAATCACTGTTAGACCTGCCTGAAATGCACCGCTTCTATTTGTATCTTTGTTGTATAGTAGGCTATTTTGTGCTATTGCTTGTAATTTGATTTGCTCTTATTTTACAACCATTTACTAGTCTTTAAAAATGTAGCCTATTACATTTTTATTGGTTAAGCTAGTAGTTTTAGCAGGTATCAAAACTGGAATCAAGGATTGTGATTTTTTTTTTGCTATTATCTAAAATTTTGGTGTCATAACTGCCTGTTTTTTTTCCCATGGCTGGTAAAAAATATTTCTGGCCGGTAAATTTCCTAGTCACCGGCTAATGGCAGGTCTGGCAAAAAGTTAGTTTTAGGCCCTGCTTATAAGGAAAAAAAGGCCAAACAAAGGCTTTGTCGCAGCCTGAGCCCTGAATGCATGTGCTTACTGTATTTATGTGCCACACCGGGTCAAATTTGTTGAGAGAACAAAATAAATAAATCACAGCGGTGTAAGTCACATTTTATTATATTCAGAAATAATGTAAAATACTAGTAAATAAAATGCTTACAAACATTATCAAATATGTATTGATAGTTCAGCTCACTCCACAACAAATGCTTTAAATGTAACCAAACAGAACAGCAATGAAAAATACAAGCATAAAACAAACAAGTCATCCTGGCATTCGTTATAAACATTATTCATTAAAAAAAACTGCAAGCCTAAACCAATTTAAAGTAAAACTGAAAGTAATGGCATGTGTGAAATGTGCTATCAGTGCATCCAGTGTACTGAGTTTTAGAGCACAGGAGGTGTTTGTAACCTGGTGAAACGTGTGTCTTCTTCTGCAGCTGATCCTCTGGTAGGAAGCATCGCCACGCAGTACACAACCAACAGACCAGAGCATGACAGGATAGCCAAACAGTGGACCAAACGCTACGCCACATAGTTTCCTCCGGCCGCAGAGCGCCACTGCCTGCCGGACACCAGCGGGGATGTAAGAGGAAATGGGGGGATGGGCATCCATAGGGTAGAGATAGAGGGTGGATTTTATGATGGAATTTAAATTCCCATTTCAATTGTTTTCTTTCCCTGCATTTTTTTCCCCCCATTGGCTCAAGTAGCATCATGATTTGACAAAAATGGATCTTAATGTGTGTTTTCTTTGCCTTCCTGTTGTAAATTGGTTTTATTTGTCAAATGAAGTCACAGCATGAGCCTAAAGCAAGATTGTTCCATGTATGTATTTTCCCCACCAATATTAAAGTTGATGTTGTTGTACAGAGTCGTGCAGTATCTTTCAGTGCAAGCATTCAGATTCATGATGCATTCATGATGCAGTCAGTGGTCCTAAAATAGGCTTAATTTGCTTTATGGAAAATGTAGGCTGATTTCTTTTAATTCCAATAATCCTGCTGTTGTCTGCGTTTTTAATCCTGAGCAAAGAAAATAGGACAAAGAAAAACTTGAACTTTAAAAAGATATAAAGACTATAGTGTTACTTGATTAGCATAATTTATTACATTTCTGTAGGCTACCTGAAAATCACTGTTAGACCTGCCTGAAATGCACCGCTTCTATTTGTATCTTTGTTGTATAGTAGGCTATTTTGTGCTATTGCTTGTAATTTGATTTGCTCTTATTTTACAACCATTTACTAGTCTTTAAAAATGTAGCCTATTACATTTTTATTGGTTAAGCTAGTAGTTTTAGCAGGTATCAAAACTGGAATCAAGGATTGTGATTTTTTTTTTGCTATTATCTAAAATTTTGGTGTCATAACTGCCTGTTTTTTTTCCCATGGCTGGTAAAAAATATTTCTGGCCGGTAAATTTCCTAGTCACCGGCTAATGGCAGGTCTGGCAAAAAGTTAGTTTTAGGCCCTGCTTATAAGGAAAAAAAGGCCAAACAAAGGCTTTGTCGCAGCCTGAGCCCTGAATGCATGTGCTTACTGTATTTATGTGCCACACCGGGTCAAATTTGTTGAGAGAACAAAATAAATAAATCACAGCGGTGTAAGTCACATTTTATTATATTCAGAAATAATGTAAAATACTAGTAAATAAAATGCTTACAAACATTATCAAATATGTATTGATAGTTCAGCTCACTCCACAACAAATGCTTTAAATGTAACCAAACAGAACAGCAATGAAAAATACAAGCATAAAACAAACAAGTCATCCTGGCATTCGTTATAAACATTATTCATTAAAAAAAACTGCAAGCCTAAACCAATTTAAAGTAAAACTGAAAGTAATGGCATGTGTGAAATGTGCTATCAGTGCATCCAGTGTACTGAGTTTTAGAGCACAGGAGGTGTTTTTAACCTGGTGAAACGTGTGTCTTCTTCTGCAGCTGATCCTCTGGTAGGAAGCATCGCCACGCAGTACACAACCAACAGACCAGAGCATGACAGGATAGCCAAACAGTGGACCAAACGCTACGCCACATAGTTTCCTCCGGCCGCAGAGCGCCACTGCCTGCCGGACACCAGCGGGGATGGGATGGGGAGGAGCTGTAAGAGGAAATGGGGGGATGGGCATCCATAGGGTAGAGATAGAGGGTGGATTTTATGATGGAATTTAAATTCCCATTTCAATTGTTTTCTTTCCCTGCATTTTTTTCCCCCCATTGGCTCAAGTAGCATCATGATTTGACAAAAATGGATCTTAATGTGTGTTTTCTTTGCCTTCCTGTTGTAAATTGGTTTTATTTGTCAAATGAAGTCACAGCATGAGCCTAAAGCAAGATTGTTCCATGTATGTATTTTCCCCACCAATATTAAAGTTGATGTTGTTGTACAGAGTCGTGCAGTATCTTTCAGTGCAAGCATTCAGATTCATGATGCATTCATGATGCAGTCAGTGGTCCTAAAATAGGCTTAATTTGCTTTATGGAAAATGTAGGCTGATTTCTTTTGATTATGGAATGAAATGTGATTTGTGACAAAACTTCCAAATTGGTGATTTAGGATTATGTTGAATAGGACGATGAAAAGATTATAGCACATGTTGTTTATTAATCTTACCTTACAGACGACTCTTGGCCAATATTACAGCAGTTTACAGGTGTATTATTGTAATGGTAATCACATCTGTATTATTGACAGCGACGAACAGAAATGAAAAGTCAACAGTCCATCCAGTCAGTAAGCATTTATTTGGTTGAATCGCCTCGTTGCATGGTGAATAATGCACGATATGTCTTTAGGTAGCTTTCATTTAAATTAGAACGGGTTACTAAGACAAGGATTTCACAAATGTCCATTGATAACTACTGGAATTCTCCTCTACTGAGTTTTCCTGTGCTCTACACAAACACAGCTACAGGCTTCATCGCATGACTACATGATTATAGCTTTGGGTTTCTAAAGCTTTGAGATGAAATGCGAGAACAGCTGAGTTAGTTTTGGGAATAATGCTGGAAGACATCATCATACACACCATATGGCTTTAACATAACCTAATGTTGCCATATTTTTATGAACTGACATCTTAAAGCACTTCATGCCGGACTGAAGTTCACATCTGAAGGACAGAAGAAGCACTGAAATCGACCGTTTTCTTTATACTGTCCCATTATATGATATTTTAAATGCACGCAACTGGTCCAACTGGTGTTTCTCATGTCCGAGCCATATTCTAGGGGTGGGAGAAAAAATCGATTCTCCGCTGCATCATGATTCTCAATCGATTCTAAACATTTTGGAATGGATTCTTCTGAGCTTGTTTTTTCCCCACGTTTGGCACGTGCACGTGCTGGAGAGAGTCGCAGCAGCATTCACTGGACACTGTGCAGTGCACAGAGAGACACATGCGCATCGCATCCTCCTCGACAGCAACCAGTCTGGTTTCAGAAGTGGACATTCGACCGAGACTGCCTTGCTCTCAGTTGTTGAAGCCCCAAGACTGGCAAGAGCGGCTTCCAAATCTTCTATACTTATCTTGCTGGATCTCTAAATTCATTACTTCAGAGTTATGTGCCTCTAGAAGCTGGCGTTCTGCAAGTGAACGACGCATTATTGTGCCATCTCAAAGAGCTTCAGCAGCTGAATCCTTAGCCATCTTCAAGAAACGGCTAAAAACACATCTCTTCCATCTGTATTTGACCCTTTAACTCTAGCACTCTCTATTCTAATTCTATTCTTTATAAAAAAATGTAAAAAAAACTTGCCCCTTTTAGACTTTTTAAACTTGCCCCTTTTGTTTTCTTTTAAAAAAAACTAAAACTTGCTTCTCTAATCTTTTTGTATTCTATTTGATTTCATTTTATTTATTATACAATTAACAAAAGCAAAAAAGGCCTCTAACACTAGCTTGCTCTATTCTTTTTCTATTCTATTCTATCTTTCTTTTTATTTATTATATGATTTTTTTTTTTAAACCTTTCGTGTACTGCGTTAAGCTGAGACTTGTTATAGCACTTGCATATTATTGCTCTTTTGTTGATTTTGATTGCTTCCATTGTCCTCATTTCTAAGTCGCTTTGGATAAAAGTGTCTGCTAAATGACTAAATGTAAATGTAAACTATGATTGTCTGTAAACTTTCGGATACTTAATGCACTCTCAGATACTGTTTATCACTTGTAATTGTCTTTTTCCCCCTTTAATATTTTATATTTGCTTGTATGTTTTGAAGCTATATTTAGTTGGTTAAATTATTTATTTATTTATTATTAATTTGTAATTATTTGTAAAAAGTAGCCTGCTTATATAATTTAATAAAAATGCGTAAAATAAATTTGATATAAAATGTATTTGAAAATGTAGCCATGTGCAGTAAAATTGAAAATGCAATGCATGGTGATATCGAAATTGAATCGAATCGTTAACATGATAATCGTAATTGAATCATGAAGCCAGTGAAGATTCACACCCCTAACATATTCCATCCCAAAATACATTTAATTAATTTAGAAAACACAAATTATATTTGCATAAATAAATGAAGCCTATAATGTAAAATAGATATAATATATAATTCTATAATATATTTAAATTGTAAAATACAGTATTGAATTAACAGAACCATAAATGAGAATAATGATAGTTACAAAAACTCAGGTGTTAAATCTGGAAGAACTGTGCTAATGAGAATGAAATCTTTTGCTTTAGAGTTTCAGAATACAGTTTTTAATGGTCTAAAAACATCTTAACAGTCCAAAAATAAGTTCTTATTCTTCCGATTCATTTTAGTGTTTAAACAACGTTTGCATGAGATTTGTCTGACTAGTCATTTTCCTTTCACTGCAGCAACTAAAGCAACGAATTCTCAACTTCTGTGATTGACTGGCTATAGTAAGCCGAGCCTAGTGATGCAGCAGTATCTCTATGAGTGCCCTGCATTTATATGTTCGGCTATTTTCCATCAGTGCACACAAATACAACAACAACAAAAAGTTTAGTGCATGTATTTCTGAGTGTAAATAGATCTAGTCCTAGCTAACCTCTTTCACTAGAAGCCCTTAATCTTCTACAGTACCAGAGAGGAGTCTAGAGTGCTGATGTGTGGTAGTGTGAGCTGCTCAGATGTCGCTGGACGGGGTGCCCTTGCTCTTGCGGCCGGGCAGAGGGAAGGCGGACTTGCTCTGCGGCTGAGTGAGGCGGCTGGTGAGGCTGGTGAACGGCTCGATCAAAGAGCTTCTGTCTGTGACAGTCACCTCCCAGAGTTTGAGCTTCTCGCCGCGAGCCCACTGCTGCGCCGCGTCCTGATCCACCTGCCTCCGCTCGCGCAGGTCACACTTATTCCCCAGCACCATCACCATCACCTGCACACACAGACACTCATGCACACACAGACACACACACAGCCACACACTTACACACACAAACACACACACACACAGAGACAGACACACTTACAGACGGACACACACACACAGAGACAGACACACACACACACACACAGAGACAGACACACTTACAGACAGACACACACACATTCACACACACACACACACACACACACACACACACAGACACTCACACACAC